TACAGTCAACAGAACTTCATAGTTGATCCCTCGAGAGGCATTATTCTTTCACTCATTAAGCTTTTAACCGAGAGAAAGTCGTTAGGTTCACGTAGAGGAGGTCAATTGCAGAGTCGGATTGGTGCTGGGTCCCTCTGATTAACTTTGGCCGTTTGGAATTTGAGAAGAATTGGTGTCTGGTCGATCTTATTGACTTTGACCTTTTAGAATTTGACAGTTGGATATGAACTTTGAACTCTATTAATTAAGTCGCTGTAATAAACATCGAACTATATAGGAAATAACAGTATCGTAAGCTTCGAGAAGTGTACCTATGAAGACAACTTGAAAATTTCACTTCTAATGAGGTTTCCTAAGCTGTCCTTCGCACCATCAAAAGAACCTCACACACTCATCAACTTATCCACTACACTTTTATTAGCTGCCTAAGGCAGTTTGCTTTGAGTGACTCCGCAAACCCGCTATTGAAAACTAAAACTATCGAAGGAATAAAAAATTAAATTAGTTTCAACACACACTTCTAGCTCTCACAAATGACCCTCTGCATATGATCGACGTGACTGACTGATTGACTAACTGGCTTCCTGTTGACGCAGTTTCCTAAACTCATCAGCTTTGCAACAACCAGCCGGACTAACTGACACGTGACAGTGAAAGGTACATCAACGTTATGTCAGTTACGTGTGGGCACGCACTCAGGGTCCAACGGAAAGGCAAAAAGAAACCGACACCAGAAGACAAGCCAACATTACACATTCATCACGTTTCCATAGATCAAATGTAATTCAAGATTTTGTTGTGATAGAACTCGTAAATCTACACAGCCTTGTTTAGAGGTGTGTGCGTGTGTAAGAAAGGGATGTGAAGAGGTAGAAAATTTTTGTCTTGCGTGTCACTAGTAACAAATAAGATACATTTTACTTTTCTTCAACGCACACAAAAACAAAGGTAACTCAGGCGCTAAGGTAGTTTTACTAGAAGGCTAGAAGGGTAAGCGAAGCGAACACAAATAAAAATTAGGGCAATATTTTAGTTGTGCAGCGGTTTCACAGGCTCTTAAATAACCAAGAGACTATGCATATAAATTAATGTGGGTAGGCAAATCAGGCACGTTTCCCATTACCTACAGCACAATCAATGCATACGAAGCTCGAATTGGTATTACGCTCGGTAAAACTGTAAGCAGTTTGGGACCTTTTTCTGCGTGTCGTTTTCATTTACAACATTTTTGTTTGGGGCTTCTTAAACCGCTTAAAATTACTTAAATAAATCTAATTTTAAGGTTACTGTTAATGAATGTAATCTCTGCTTAATTTATATACTTAAGATGTTGGCGTGCCACCATTACTAAAAAAAAAGATGTATAGATGACCATGAATACCTCTTTAGATGCCGCAAAGAGTAAAAATATCGAATATAAACTGAATTCGGTAATATTTATCTTCGGATAAACGTTTTTCAAGTGAATTACTTGAGTTTGGCTGCAGTGGAAGTATTAATAATATAGAGTATAATACCGCAGAAATTATATTAAGTACCATAAAAAACAAAAACTGAGTTGAATAATGATTCGTCAAGAAATGCTTAGGATAATAAGAAGTCGAATAATATAGAATATCTTCGGATAACCCACGGTATGGATAACCATAAGGCAATACGGTATGCATAAAGGAAAAATGATGCAAATTTTGGAAAGTAAAATAAGTTATAACACATGGAGGATAAAAACGGATAGATTTGGATAAGTATGAATGATGATAAAACTAGGATATGAAATTTTAGTTCGGATACCCTCCAAACTGTAAAGTGCTGAAAATTGGCTGAAGTTGGTGATAGCTGTCGTCGGATAAGCAATTATCAAGATGATAGCTTGAGTTTTGCTACATACAAGTATGCATTGAATTTATTACTATTTGTACTATAGTAGCGCTTTGATAAAAGCGCAGTTTGGATAAATGCGGATAATAGCAGATAAACTAGGATCTCATGAGTACAATAATCGCATTGAATAACTATTGGTTATAGATTGGTTATGATTATATTGATTCGGATAATAGCGGATAAGCTCGGATAACCCACAAGTTGTAATGAAACGATAGTTGGATAATGATAAAATGTAAAGTAAGGATACTAAAATATGAAATATGTAAACTATGCAGCCAAAGTATAGCCAAATTTGGTAACGAGTATAACGGATATCTCATGTCTTAAACATCAGTTACATGCAACGTATTGATGGGTTTAAGTGGAAATAGCCGGGCTCTTATTTGTTTCGGTGACCTAAATGATCATCTGTTCATCAGTTATTGTAGATCAGATGCAGCTATAGTTCTCTTGTAACGAATTTCCGTAGTTCGGTTTAAAGCTTCCTTGTTAAAGGTAAACGGTCTTATGACTTTGTAGTTGTTTCTATCTTAAATTACTGGAAATAAATATTCGTGTTATATACAATAAGTAATTTGTAGCTCTGAAGTTTGACCACGATACTGCAATGTCAATTGTGCTCTCAATTTAGCTTCTTCTTTGTCGTCCCTCGCCGTACCGACGGTATCCTAAATAACCGGTACTTTTCATAGAGGCTGTAGTTAAGCTCTCGTTCAAAAGGCGGTGCCGCAATGACAGTGGAGTATTCCAGATTGACGGGCTAAGGAAATGTACTGCTATGTTCTCATTAAAGAATAACGGGTTTTTGATGTTCCCAAGTCATCGAACTCATCGGTGTATATACAAGTACTTACTAACACGAGGTTGAAGTTTATATTTTCTCTACTTCAATGAATGTTTCACTCCGTTACTTCGGTGCTGACGGTCTGAACCAAGTCGTTTACTGTATGTAAGCACCATCAGAGGTATAAAGGCCTTTGAAGTACCTTTGACGTCTCCAATGTCAACTTTTATCCACAGATAATCAACTCTTTGGCAAATATAATACTGCCAACCTGTTTGTATATATGTCTATATATTTTAACACTTTTCCATACATAGAAAAAATGAACCTGTTGCGAATCGGTTCCTTTTTAATTTCCTCTCAATCGTCGCACATCCGTTGAGTTTATTCTAAGAGTCAAATACAGCCAAACAAATAAACTCCTTTCAACAGAAGTGTCCCGCCCGCAACCATTAACCGTTTCACATGCCATTCCGAACCACTTGATTTCAATTCGATTCATTCCAATATATACTACATATACAATCCATGCCTCGTGGCATGCTAACACACTACTCATTGAGTCATTCATTCTCGCTCGCTCTTTCGTTCATTCAACACAACTCACTATTGAATTGTATGGATTTCCAATTGAATGAATTGAAGTACCCGTTAGACGTTAGGGCGAGTGAAGTTATATATACACTCTCGAATGTCTATTTAGTCCACCCAGTCAACTTCATTTGAACGCCTGCAGCTGTTGCAAGGTGTGGTTGCGGCAGCTGTGGCCCGTTGTTATTGTTGTTGACTGTCATTGTTATGTCGAATATTCAATATTTGTGGAATTTCTAAAAAATCTTCAAAATCTGTTGGCATTTTCATTCAATATGTGGCATTTCCCCTCCCGGTTTTAGTATGCTTGGAGGCTTTCACTGAGTTTGTGCGAATGTATGTCTTTATTTACGCACACAAAATGTGGTGGATTTGTAATTTTCGTTTCTTCTTTTTTTTGACAGGAGTCACCTATCTATTGCTTTACTTAATTTGGCTAATTTGACTCAGGAAACTGAGATTTTGTTTGCGGGGGAGCGTATGTGTCACATCGCTTGCTTTGGTCCTCAAAGTTTTCCAATATTTAGATAACTTACTTTATGTAATTTGAAGAAACAATAGAATTACATTTCCACATACACATTTACTGTGGTAATTGGAAGCTCTACGTTACAGCTTCATATTGGTACTTTAAAGCTCCTGAAAACTGATATGCTGAGATGAACGCGTAATGCGTTCCACGTCGTTTTGTTTTGATGCATTCCACGTACTTATGAAACGTTATACCCAAATTTAGTTCATTGGATTCATATTTCCTGGCGTTAATTCATAAAGCCTAAACGAAGCCTAAAGCCCTTTGAAGCGTAAAAGCTTGATTTTCATTACATTTTGCCTGCTTTCACGTTCAAAATGGGGTTCGGGTATCGCTTTATCGACTCAGTTACTGTCGCCACTTGATCATCGTTAAAGACTCTACCGCTACAACCCTGTCTTGACGCCTTTGAACTACTTTGAAAAAGCATTAGCTCATATGATGTATGCCATTTTCAGATGACTTGAGAATTCGAATAAAAAAACCCAAGTTTTAAGCAAGCCTGTTCAAGCATCGACTGATCAATTCTCAGGATAATGAAGTTACTTAGAAACTACGAATTAAGTTCGGAGTTACAGCAGGGATCCTTTTATTGAACATCAAGCTTAGATAGAATGGATTAGTGAAGCCTTAACTTAGTAAATAAATCTTGTAATGATACCGAGCTCTTGCATTGGCACGCAAAAACTAAGTTTAGCAAGAATGTCTAAGTTTGAGATTTAGATATCTGTTTTAGATTCTTAATCATCTTTTCGGCAAACTTTAGAGGATCCTTAAGGGAAAAAAATCGGGTTACTCCTTCCCATCACAACTTATGAAAATTGTTTTAAAATGTTAGTGAAATAAGTTAAATCTTCCAGCTTGGTATTCTCCAAAATGACCCAAGCTCGAAATTTTGTTTTGTCCGTTCTACTTGGTCGACCGTAACTAATTTTTACACTGAGCTAGCACTGAAAAAGTTTTTTCGATGGTCGAACATTAGAGAAATATGTATGACTATCCGAATATTGAACTTCTAAAATAAAACTTCATCCAAATCTGAGCTAATCCATAGGTTTCTTATCTAGTCTTTGAACTTCTTCAAACCGGATCAGATTTTTTAACAGGCATTAGAGTAGAGGACTTTTGTTCTACCGGGTTTTCCCGGAACACTGTATTGGAACTGATTGAATCTATATTTTTGGTCTTGACTTTCTTTAACTACTCAGCTTAAGATAAACGGTAATTAACAGGACTCATTATCTTTTCCCTTTTTCTTCTTGATATGAGGTATACTTTATAGAGTCTTCCAACTCCGACCATTTATTTCAATACACAATAAAAAAGTATTTTAAAGTTATGGCACTTATACAAAATACAACTCTTTTTAAATAATCACATGTCCTTAAAATAGAATATTACTCTAACACTTTCACCATCCCTCCTCTTCTTTTCCTTATATCATAACTGATTCTTGCGCTTACGTCCCGGCCGCACCGTTAACACACTATGCGGCAACACACCATCGATCGCCTTACCAGCCTTACTCGCTGCTAGCAGACGCCGCTCGTGTACCTTCCGATGCTTCGTCAGATGATCGGAACGCGCAAAACATTTCAAACAATAGCTGCACTTGTAGGGTTTCACACCCGAATGCGAACGCCGATGGCGCGCCAACTCATCGGAACGTGAAAACTTCCAGGTACACGCAGGCCAATCGCAAGTGTAGGGCTTTTCGCCCATATGGCGACGCAGATGTGCCTTAAGGTGAGCAGGCTTCGCATAAATCTTATCGCAGGTGCCAAAAGTGCAAGGATAACCAGCGGCCGCGCGTTCATCTTGGCTGCTGGACTCATTGCTACGCTTTGCAGTTCTTGCTTTGCGATGCAGTTTGAGGTTTTTAGAGCTTTCGTGCAAAAAGTGGTCGCAGGTATCAGTGCAAAGTGGCGTCTTCTCAGGTAGAAAGTCGATTAGCTCTGGTATCTCGATGTAGTTATCCAAGAATTTCTCCTCCCACTCAGCCATTTCGCGTGTTATGTAGGCAGCTGTCTCGAATTCCACCACAATTGTGGAATCTATGCTGACGGGACTGCTTGGGGTGTTGAATACGCAGCTGTTGTTGTGGTTTTCCATTTCACTGCAACTCTGTGTTGTTAATGTTTCGTAGTTTGTGGGCAACGCAGGTGAATCACACGTAGTGTCATGTATTAAGACATCAGCTGGTGAGCTGAGCAACCGATCGAGCGAAAGCTGCAGCTGTTGTTCGTTGGTTTTCTTGTATTCCGGGTAGGTTGTGTGCATATTTCGCTCCTCGTGTATATTATACTTCGCTTCAGCCATGCTCTCATCCCAATCCACATGCAATTCCATAAGCGTTTTTTCACATGGCGTTGCCGCAAACACATAAGGATCATCCGCGCAGCTGAGTCGCATACTTTCGTCAATTTTCTGCTGCGCGCAGCAACTGTAACTGTAAACCGGCGTTCCATTTTCCACGTCCGCGCCGATATCCGTCCAGTTTTCATGCAACTGCGTGTCATTTAAGTCGCTAAACAGTTGCTGGAAGCCGCCAGCGGCAAAGAAATCCATTTTTGTTGAATAAAATTATTATTTTTTTTTCTTTTTTGTGAACTCTCCGCGTTTGCACTTGTCACTTTGGGTGTTGCAATTGTACTGCCGTGTTCTCGGGCTGCGTTTATTGTTTTTAAGTTATATTCTCTGTCTGAGATTCAATGCTGCGCCGCGTGGCAGTTCGAAATAAAAAATAAGATCAATGAGTTGGCGCATTTTTATCTACTCGATGGTCAATCAATATCGCCAATGGCATAAATGTAGATCGTAAGCGCAGTCGCCGTCCCACAGTCACCCGCAACTGGGTATTATGCGTAGTATAGGCAACAAAGTTGCCAGCTTATAGTTTTTAAATGTCGTTTGAAGAATTTTTATACCTTGGATAGGGTATATTTAGTTTGCCACGAAGTTTGTAATACCCAGCAGGAAACGTCGGAGACCCTATAAAATATATATGTATGTAAATGATCAGCATGATGAGCTGAGTCCATTTACCATGTCCAGCAGTCCCTCTGTCTGTATATACGCGAACTAGTCCTTCAGGGTTTGAGATATCGATGTGAAATTTTGCACACCTCCTTGTCTCCGCAAGAAGCTGCTCATTTCGGTCGGAACCGCCAATATCGGATCACTACAGCATATAGCTGCCATATCAAAATTTAGTCCTTGTATGGAAAACTTTTTTATTTTACGAGATATCTTCATCAAATTTAGCATGGATTATTTTCTAAAACAATAATACAATCTTCGAAGAAATTTTTTATATCGGATCACTATAGCTTATAGCTGGCATACAAACTGAACGATCGGAATCAAGTGCTTGTGTGGAAAACTTTTTTATTTGACGAGATATCTTCATAAAATGTGGCATGGATTATTGTCCAAGGTAATGGTATAATCAGATCGAACTAAGTTAGCATATATCTATCTGGTATACATACTAATTATTTAAAATCTAGATTAAGATCTTTCTTTAACCTTTTATACACATGTGAAGGCTTTTATGGTTTCTGTGGTGTCGAAGTTTATGTTTTTTCCTGTTTCACATTATTTTGTCAAATATCTGGCAGCGCTGTGAATCTACTTATTACTACTCCACATAACATTAGTATAATATTTGGAATTTTTATTTTCATTCTAAATTGACCATAAAAGCATACTAAAATAGCAAAACATAATTAATATAATTTTTCAATCAATGCCAACAATATGCGCGCTTGTTGTTGTTGCCCTCTATATTGGCACTTCCCAAGTGTGGCTATGCATTTGTTTACGATTGATTTGTTTTGCTCACAAACTGTCAATTTTGACGAAATACTTCACTTTACAACACACAAACACACGACACTGCCACCACCAGCAACAACCACAACAACAAAAGCAATCACAACAATGAACCGTACACTGTACCGTATTGTCGCCTGTCACACCATCCTTTGGGAATAATTAACACGTTCGACTTTGAACGCTATCACGCCAACACTTGCATGTGGTTGTGCGTTGCTACGGCTCATTAAGAACATACTCAGCTCAGCGCGGCATTAGTATGCTCTTGCAAGCCTTTGCGCTGCACTCCACGCGCCGCAGCTGCTTGCGCTCGGCTTGAGCTGTGATGCTGCCGCGCATGTCTTATCGCTTTGAGTCTGGCTTTTGGCTGGGTACCAAGCGGTGACAGGCCACCAACGTGTCAGCGGCAACATCGAGATCATCAGCGGTAACAACAACAATGAAAACATCAATCGTTATAGATATAAAAATAATAAAAAAACAATGACATTGTTTAAAAATAACTTTTGTTGTTTTGTGTGTATATTCATATCTCTCATTGCGTCTATCATAATACCTGGAACCTCAAATTTTGCCAGATGCGCTTTTTATTGGAATTTTAGGACCATAAACATTGTTTATCAGCATTTTTTTGGGAAAATTATTGTTGACACGTCACGTTATATACATACTAGTATTTTGCCACGGTACACTTTTCAAAATTTCGCTATTTGGGGTTTTTGCTCTCTTGAGTTATTGCGGCCATACTGTATGTGTTGGTTTCCTCAAGCCATATGTTTATAGAGATATTTTAATACAGGTTATTGTAATAACTTAAGTATAATATTTAAAGAAAAATACTATTGAGAACCAGAGTTTTTAAGCGTGCACTTCGACCGCTAAACCTTTATGACAACCTCAAATCACTGCTTGAAATTTTTTTGTTGTGAAGTAGAAAATACTTTCTTAGGCATAACATTACAATAATTTGGAAAAAAAATGGAATTTTTTTAAAGAATGAGTTACAGATGAAATGTTTTTGGCTAAAAGTCTCAACCCTGAGCTTCTAACTCGAGTTTCCAAGGGCTCCTTTACATCCTCGCCGACATGTTTGAAGTTAAAGTTTCGGTTCTTAATAGTATCATTATCACCCTCACTTTGTGAGAAGTTACCTACCAAAAAAAGCCATGAAGTTTGAGCTTAGAAAATCGGCTTTACGTAAAACCACATCTTTGAAGTTATGTCAGCTTGTATTTCCTTCGAATCTTACCTTACTTCCGTTGTATTCTGCTGCAAGTTCCGCCGGAGAGCCTTAATTACTATAGCAAATCTCCACTGACAGACACTGTGAAAAAAAAATAGGTACGTGGTTTCTGTAATTTTGCCTCTAATCAGTTATCTTGTGATGCTTGGGTAGATTCCGCCGAAGAGTCTCTGGTGATAGAGACTGAACTGAGACTATTTTTATAGTGTTATCCAATACCGCCACAAGATCATCTTTGCTCAGCTCCAAACTCCTTCACATGTTAGAGTTATTGAAGTACACCACTTCTGCTACTGACTTAAGTCCGGAAATCTCTAGCTTATTAAGTAATACTTCGAAAGTCGCATATTTAAAATCTTAATATTCTTTACCAGGAAATGTGCGCAACGGAGCATTGTTTTTTGCTGGATCGGTCAGTTTTGGTGAAGTCTGTAGAGTCTCTTAAAATATTTGGAGATTTTTATTTTCAAAATCAAAACATCAGAATTTTTCTTTTTTCGCGATGATTCTATTTTGACTTTGAACTTTGGGTCTCTTTCAATCGGCTTTCATAGTCTACATAGTATCATTCAACTTCATGATCAGGTTGATGTTCGTATTCGTAATCGTACCAATATTCAACTTTATAACCAACTCTAGAGAACTTCTAACCTACCATGTAATCTAAGAGGAAATATTTAAAAAAACTGGCGTTTGTAGAGTGATTTTATGTTTTACATAGGCATTTTTTGGCCAAATTTAAGAAAGCAGCCTCGCCGAAGCGGTCGCATCGGGTATGTTTTGAATATATACATGGTTACTCGGATAAATGCCGATGTTGAAGTAAGGGAACTAGAATAATTGGCTCACTAATAAGTATTAAACTTATCAAAGTGATCCCTAAATGGCCGTGTCAGCTTTTCAGAGTTTTTGAGTTCTCAAATTGCAGTTGCAACCTACTGAAAGCTCAACGTACTTTTGCCTCCTTCCTTAAAGCTAAATATAGAAACATAATTTTTCTTGAGAAAATAATACAATTAGCTGCAACCATATATTGACGCAATATACACGGCTTACGAAACCACTCAACGGCCTCATAGCCAAAAAGCTACCAAATAAATCAAATGAACTCCGTCACCCACGAAACAGCATTAACAATACTTGTCGTACTACGGTAATAACCTGTATCATGGAAAGTTGTCCATTAAAAGCGCCCGCACTTGCTGCTGCCTGCTAACCGAATTATAGGCCATGGCAGAGCATTAAATTGGAAACAGCTGACGCGGGCAGAGCGCGCTGCCATGCGGCCGTTCATAATGCGCCTGTGACCGAAATATTAAAAATGATTAATGAAATGATTAATGATATCACATTACTTCCATTTCATTTGCCGACTCGTCGTCATTGCTCGCACTGCATGTCCGCGGCGCAGGAAAGACGTTAAAAAAAGCGAAATAAATTCCCCTTCAAAAAGTCATCGATAGCGTTTGTACGCTGGAAACGCTTTTCGTTTCCGGTCACAAAATAACGGCCGTTGTTATAGTACAACGTTTGTAGGTATATGCTTTTAGCTGGCTTTTAGGCGCTGTGCCACTGAGCCGTTATAAAGCAGGCGGACAGCAGCAACAGCAGAGCAGCAGGAAGGCAGCGCCGTTTTGTTTCACATTTAATTTAATTTCCACAGCGCGTTGATCTTAATTTGCCGATATTGAAAATTCGATTGAGTCAAAAGCAGCGGAAGATTTTTCCGAGAAAAATCCGGAAAGTAAAAGAAAAAAGAACAAAAATGTAAGCAGTAACGTAAACGAGTTGTGGTAGGTGTGGGTGAGGATGATTGACTTTACGGCATTTTTTAAGAAATAAGACAGCGATACAAACTGATACACGTTATTTTCAGTTGAAGATTTCTTTATGAAGTCGAAAGATAACAAGAACGTCATGTCTCTTTAAATATTGAAAAGTCTTACGATTTTGTGGCGGATAGTCGTGAAGTCAGAAGTGGACTTAGTGTTGTGAAGACTATCGTAACATTACAGATTGAAGTAATGGATCTACGTCTTCGGAGCACAACCGCTCAAGCAGGCAGATTTTTAAACTATGTTTTCCCACATATTAATTATAAATGAATGGTTGGTGAAACGGAGACCGCCAGAGGTTAGAAAATAGTAGTTAATATGATAAAAGTCTAAACTAACGTTAAGTCATTGGAGTCTATGTCAAATTGTTCATTTCAAGGATACCCATCTACATCCCTCTTGGTGGATCTATTTCGTTCAAAATCTGTACAGTTGGATTCCAAATATCCGCTGCTTACGTCTCGAAAGCATTTATTTACAAGCACGTAGTAAAGTCTTAAAGTATTTTAGGGATGACTGTCATATTGAAGTTTGCATAAATGGTTCTACTTCCAAATAATTTAGTGAAGGTAGGTTATAAAGTATTATTTTCTATATAAACAGAAATACTCATAGCCTGCTGTTTTTCCTAACAATTATCCTCTATCATAAAAATAAGTGATTGACAATCACCGGAGCTTTCTGAAACAGTCTAGTTTTTTCGGCAAAAGTTTGTAATGAGTTGGAAGCTGCCACAG